CTGCTATTAATGAACTCTAAGAACTACTGCAGCTTTCCTCATTCTCAAACTGCTGTAAGGAAACTATTTATTAAGGCTAATGCTATTCTTCAGGCAGGGATCTCTTTTTTCAGACTCATGCAGAAATCTAAAAAAAGAGGGAGGGAAGGGTCTGGTTACTTAAATGAGCAGAGAAACACTGTGCCCATATAAAGTCCAAAGCATTTATCACAAGTCTTCTGAGATGTATGTATGCATTTTCCTTAAATAAATTTTCTTGGCACTTATGAGAGTCTAATTTCCACATCCTATTCTGAGGCAAACAGAGATTATGAATAGGATAAAGAATTTGAATGAAATGAAAACATATTTGGTAACTGAGTAATTTAAATGGGCAATTAATTCCTAAAAAGGTATTTGTGAAGTTTGTTGTTAAAATATCAACACAACAAAACTAATCATAAGGTGATTTCTTTTCACTAAACAGCATGCTTCAAACAAAATTCTTTCCTGGTCCACATTTCTAAAGTGATTATATTGTGGGACAGACATAAAATCAAGAGGAGAAAAAAAAAATCTGTGTGTGTCTCTTTGTTTTGCTTACTGGTTATAAATGATGCAATTGTCAAAAAGCTATTAAAGAATACTTGGGATTTTGACCACAACAGTATTAATGGAATAGACCTCATATTACCGATGATTCAGTCATCTGTCAGCCAGATGAATGGATTAGTGTAAGAGGTATTCTAGTGAAGAAATGTAGCCTGTGGAGCTTTCAGCTAATTATATTTAAGTTGTTTAGTACTGCTGGGAAGCAGAATCCAAGCAAATGCTGAAAGCTTTCATGCAACATGTCCCATTAGAGTTTGTGTTCAGAAACTCATTATCCTTTCTAGCTTACACTGGATGGATTCTAGGAACTTGACGTGAAATGGAAAAGGGCAATAAATAGTAAAAAAAGACATTTTAATTTAACTTCCAATCCTTTCCTGAATCAGCAACTGTTGGTCTGCATGATTTGTCTGCTATTTCTGCAGTTAAAGATAATTGTGCTTTAACTTGATTTATTACCTCTGCAAATCTTTTTCTGCTAACAGGTATCTCTAAAGAAGAATATGATTTGATCATGCAAAATGCAGATTATGAACAGGAGAGTGCAACAGGATCCAGCCATTGTCAAATTCCCAGATGACACTTAGAGAATATTTGCATGAATTGCTGCCTTTCTTACATTATCTGACTTTGCATCATCATCATCGTTATTATTATTATTATTATTATTATTATTATTATTATTATTATTATT